CCGATACCCCTGCTGGATGATCTCATTCATTCCTCTTTTTCATTGCATCCCTACACCTAGCCAGCAATGGCACCCAGTAAGCACTTCATTCCTATCTGAGGAATGAATGCATGAAATAAAATCAGGCGGTGCGGGGGCTGCCTTGAAAATACGCAAAGATGCAGCTGCGTGAATACACAGGTATTTGTTTAAGAGCTCACTGTGGGCCAGCAGGTAGAGTGGTGTTTAAGGTGCTGGACTCCCACGTGGCCAACTTTAGTTCAAGTCCCGGACCTGGCAGCCTGAAAGTCATGCCAGGTGCATGTGCACACATTCTCCAAATCCCAAGAGAATGGAGAAGAAGGGCCTGCGGTGTGGCCATCTACCCTGGGTGGTGATTTCTCACTTTCCCTCTTACTGTCTGTCTCTGTCTCCCTCCAGCGAGCACATATATCCTATGGCAAAACAAAAACAAAAACAAATGAACAAAACCTTAAAAAAAAAAAAAAAGAGCTCACTGCAACCAGAGGAATTCAGAGGATCAGTAAGGTAATCATTTATGATAAACCCTTACGTGGAATATTATGCAGCCGTTTAAAATAATGAGGTGTTATTTTAAACCGGCAAGCAGAAAGAGATCCACAAGACTTACTGTTGCGGGAAAGAGCCAGTCACAGAATAACATGTACAAGTAAATAATAAAAAACATATAAATAGAATGAAGTGTATAGGAAAGATAAATGAATTAACTGCAAATACATAATAGTAGACTTCTCAAAGACAGAAGACTGCATGCGTTCTGTTTCTAAGGACTGCATCTCTGCCCTGTGTGAATTCACGGTTCAGGTCCCAGCTCACTGCAAGACCAGCAGCTAATTACTTAACCTCTCTGAGCCTCTGTGGCCTCATCTATAAAACTCTACAGATAAAACAGTCGCTGTGTTCTGAGACTACTATAAAGATGTGTAAGACATACATAAGGCCTGGCGCAAAATCGGTGTTCAGTAAAGAGTAGCCATGATCACCATGAGTACTGCTGTCAGTACGGATCATTTCTACAGTCAAACGTGCATATTTATGCAAAACTTGTCTTTTAAAAGACCCTCGGTAATAACTGCAGGGGAAAACTAGATTTGGAATCTCACTTCACACAAGGAAATACAAGACGCGTATGCCCGAGTGGGAATGAACAGCTACCCCAAACCTGCCTGCATCCCCAGGACCTTCTCTGGGCTCTGCTCATCTCAGCAAAGGCCCACTCTAACACCTGAGCCAGGGTGTGGCTGAGACACCCCTGTCACTTCCTGTGAGATTTCCCCCGAGATAACTTATTAAGGCGAACTTCTTCGTCCATGCTTGCTCATGGTGGATGCTCCTCCGTGAGGAGCTTGGCGAAGAGGCATAAGGCAGGCCCCATCACTGAAGGCCCAACACTTACCTGCACGGACAGGTAGAGCCGGTGTGGGCTCCCAGAGCCAGCCCAGTCCACGCTGAGGGCTCTGCACTGAGCTAGGGATGGGCGAGCTGTACTACGGCCACCGGAGTCCTCGTCACCACCGGCTGGGCTGTCTTTTCCACGCCCTGTCCCGAGACAGAGAGACAAGTGAGACCCTCAGACCACTGGCAGAAGACAAGTGGTTGTAGACCAGTGGTCAGGGCCATGCTGAGCTCAGCTTTCACATTCCTGGCTGGCCCAGGTGTGACCAGGAGGGACACCGCTCTGTCACCCTCCTGACCTGCCTAGAAGGGGCTATGCTCCTTCCGGGTCAAAAGCTGTCCCGAGATTCTATTCCAGAAGGTGTCCCTGCCGGAGCCCTTTCTCCCCGCAGTGGCTTTTGGGGGCACTTGCATTAGCGCCATGCAGAGAGAAGCAGAGAAAAAGCCAAGTATCTGCAAGCTCAGGGGAGGTGTGTCCGCAGGCTTTATTACCCTGGCTGCCTCTAGGTGGCAATTTCTCCCCTGCCTTCATTAACAGCGACTCACACTGGGAGGCCTAGTCCCTGCCCTCTACAAAGGCACATCCAGGACCAGCTGAAGCACATCTTCAGGTGCCTCTGATGCCCTGCCCCCCACACTAGATGGGACGTCAACACCCATCCACCCACCTCCACCCCCCACCAGTCTGTGGGCCCGGGCGGGGTGGGAAACAGGCACAAATGGCAGGACCACAACCCCGGATGTAATCAAGTCCTGAGTGCGACCACTGGGCCAGGTACTTCCCAGCCCTTATGGCCACGCTTGATCCTCAATTTGCTTGTCTGTGAAACGAAAATAATGAGCCAACTTCACAGCCCTGTGGTG